TCCTGTCAGAGAATTAGGCTGATAATCTTTCAGTGCTCCTCTGCTTAGAGTAGTAAATGATCAGACCAGCACAATATGCTTCTGCTGTATTGACCGCAGAAAAAGTGAGGCTTACTTCCATTGAAGGAGTTATCCCCTATTTAATCTCTCCACCAATCTTTGATGAGGAGCCCTGGTGGGGTAGTGATTACACTTTGGGCTGTGATCCTCTAGTTCAGAACCAGCAGAGCTCCTCCGGAGAAAGACTGGACCTTCTACTCACAGGGAGCTCACTAGGAGTCAGCATGGGCTTGGTGGCAGTGAGTTTGAGGGTTTTTTAACCTAAATTTGGATGCTTATCCTCTTTCACCTTCCCAGGAATCCACACATCAATGATGCCTATTTCTTCAGGGCTTACCCAGTTAGTCTGTATCAAGGAATCATTCCCACCATCATTATATCAAGCTCAATCTCACACAACTTAATGACAAGAAAATAAAAACCACGTCTGATCGTACACACCTATTCCTCACTTGATCAACCATCTCATTGACTATCTAATTATCTGATGCTTTGCATTCTCCACACTAGTTAAAGAATCTAGGAGACTATCACACATGTGGCAACAATGAACTCCCACCTGCTAGGTGACAGGAAGGCTGGCTGTGATGGCTAAGGTTAGGTGTCACCTTGGCCCACCAAGATTCTCTGTGGTTTGTTTGGCAGTTATCAGGTTCCATTTGTAACCTGATGTGGCCATATTCCATGTTTGCCAGCACACCAATTTTACCTAACAACATTGTCTTTTGAACCTAACCATGTGACTATCTGAGAAGCCGGTGTCCTTCTTTGACTGCTTTGTCCCTTTTAAAAATCTATAAAATCAAACTCATTAGTACTTCACTTCTGCCTTCTTCCGGCCTCTGTTGTGTTCTTCTAAACAAACACTGACTTCCCACATCACTAAATCGAAATCACGTCTTCTGTTCTCACCTCACTTGATGAGCAGTATTGATCGAAGACAGGAAGGGGCAGTGTGAGCACCTCCTCCTTCCTGGAAACACGGGTGGCTTCTCTTAATTTTCCTCTTACCACCTGCTGTGCCTTTTCGCTCGCCCTCTAGGTTCATTACCTTTCACCAACATGCAGTTGCTGTGGAGTTGTTTTGGATCCACAGAGACGACATGTGTCGGAATAGAATCATGCTTCATTGGGTTTATTGTGGTTCATTTTCTTGAAGTTGGTTGCCAGGCTTGCCTTTAGTTTTGGGGTACATCTAGGTGCACTGGAGCTGTTAGGTTTCTGGGAAGGTTTACCTTGGTTCTTGCTTTTCCACGCAGAGAGAATTCACACGGCAGAAGTAATCCAAGTAACCTTTATGAAGGAAAGGGAAGTTTCAGGTAATACAGTCTCAGATAGCACACGCTCTCTCTGGAAAGCGGGTAAGCTGCATTGCAGGGGCCGTGGGAAAGTTCGAGATGGAAAATGGCCGCTTTGGAGAAGCACAAAGAAACACGTGGAAAATGGCAGGAAAGTGGAGTCCACAGAACCAAAGGAGGGGTCTCAGAGCCAAAAAAAAGGAAGAGAGTGGGAGCCCTGAGAGGGCACTTGAGCACCCTGCATATGTGGGAGAGCCTCCCACCTGAAAGAGCGTACCTAAGAGAACCGCATGCCCGCTGACCGTGCTATTCATCCCCTCCTGCCCTCATGTGTGTGTGGCACAGTTGAGGGTATTGGCCTTTCTTAGTGGCTGAGTTTAGGTGCACGTGTGATGTAATGTCGCTGGTGCCTAGTGTGTGTCCAGATTGACCTTCACCTGAGTCTAGGTGTCCTTGGCCTGAGCATCCCCAGCTTTGATTTGTCCCCATATGTGTCTAATGTGTGCCTGATTTCGTTTCAACCCCTTTACTGTGGCATGTCCAGCTAATTTTTGTTTAGCGTAGGCATTTGGTGGAGTCTACCCCCTTTATCCCTAATCTTTCTACCTTTCAGAACTGCTAACCTTTGAGTTAGCAGCCAAGGGTATTAAATGCACCATCCAGGGATTCCCATTTTTCTCTATATGCTGTAAATGTTATACCTCAAGGTTAATTTCAAGGTCTTCCTTTCTCTCCTGGAAAATGTTATCGGGCATTTCCAGTTACACGTTGGGCTGCAACTACAAGGTCAGCAATTCAAGACCACCAGCTGGAACAAAGATAGGGCTCTCTACTCTCTTAAACAGCTACATTCTCAAAAACCCACAGGGACAGTTCTATCCTGTTCTATAAGGCTGCTGTGAGTCAAAATTGACTTGATGGAACCAATTTTTTTCCCTCTCAGTTTTCATTTGCATTTCCAAGTCCCAAATAAAGTTTTAGGCCAGACTTCTTTGAAATAGGGCAAAATGAATATAACACAAAAGTAGGAGTTTTTACTTTCAATACCTCTATAATGGGAACTCTCCTCAGGGATGGACAGCCCTCCTCATTCATCCCTCTCAAGTCCAAAGAACGATAAACTGTAAGGGAAGCACCTGTCCCTCCTCTCTTCCAAGCAAATCTCCAGTCGTTTTATATCAGTTATCATTATGCATCCACTCCTCCTGTGTTTCACAACTGGGAGACCAAACAGGAAACGAACAAAAATTGCACTGAGGCACACACACACCTTCAATGTGTGCTGGATGAATATGTGCTGTTTGTTCCTTTCCCCCTTATAAAAGCTTCCCATTTTAATGCATCCATCGTAACTGCTTATTAAACTATGAGGTTTCTTTTCCCCCTAAGCATTTAAGCTCTGCACCGCCCACAGTGACACATTCTGCTGCTATAGAAAATAAGGGCAAGAATAAATTTAGGTAGAATTTCCCAACACAGCTACAAGTTATAGTGATGAGCTGTTACGAAAGGCTAGCAATTACTTAGGATCAATCACATTTTCCTTCCTAAACGGCTTTTTTTAATCCCTAGGATTCATAAATCTTCCAAATGATAAAGTCCACTATTCTTTGATAGTCTAAGTATATAGTCAAGCTAGTAAGATATTGCTTCTTGCTTTTTGGGTGGGAAAAGGATTTTCTGAGAAATACAGAATTATTCTTTGCCTAGTGTTCCAATGTCTAACGTTTCAATTAGCAGTGTGTTTGCACCATCCAGAGACTTGCATGACATTGGACAAGTCAAATTTTAAACTGGATAATCTCACATACCTCAAAAACAACTTATGGTAACAGCATGGAATTTGTTTTATTTTAAGTTACTATCAGTTTAAAGACTGAAAGGGTGATTAATATGATCCTTAGGGTTTGCTTTAAAATATTCCAGTAAAGAAAAAACTAAGTGTACACGTGTGTGTTGGGGGGTGGGGGTTGGGGGAAGAGGTGGGGAAGCACATTTTAAAAACCAGAAAATGTTGTTAATTGCATAAGTTCTAAAAGTTCATTATACACCAGTACTTCTGAAATTTTCCACAAGTGTAAAGTTAAAAGTATACATTAGTAGCTTGCATTATTTTTACTCCCCAAATGGCGATATTTTTGCAAACCTTTTCATGTCCACTTGTGAATAGTTTTATTACAGAAGGCTTTATCATTATTGAGGAGCCCTGGTGGTGTAGTGGTTACGTGTTGGGAAGCGATCCTAAAATCCTAAGTTTGAAACCAGCGGGGGAAAGAAAGGGCAGTCTACTCCCATTAGTAGTTACAATCCTGGAAACCCACACGCGGCCTACAGGGCCGCTATGAGTCAGCATGGACTCGATGGCAGTGAGTTTGGTTTTTTTAGATATATAGTATTAGCACAATTACCTATAAAATTCGTTTTAAAACACCATGGGCTTTTAGCACATTTCTTATGCTTAGCGAAAAATACAAAATGAAAATCCCAAACCCATTGCTTAGGGGTAGATTTCACCGACAGTATCCCCATAGGTCGACAACCAAGACGAAAATCTTTCTCCTGGCAGATGGATTCGAACTGCCAACGTTTTGGTTAGTACCGAAGCACATTTACGGTACCACCAGGGCTCCTCCTCCCTCTCGTCTTATGGGGGGATTAAATCCCCTCCGTTTTCTTGTGATCGGGGCCTCACGATTCCTTCCAGAAGCGGTTCTTTGGCGCTTCGCATTAAGGGTTTCAGAAGAGAGGTGGGGCGCTGTGCAAGGCGTTGCCGGCTCGATTCAGGGTCACAGCTCTTCTTCCGGGCGGCAAGACCTACGCGTCGCACTCGCGCCCCCGTGTCCCAGTGAAAGACCGGGGCGGTCACACACAGCTCCGCGGTCCCGCCCCGAGGGTGGTGCCCGGGCGGAGCAGCGCCTCCCCCGCCTCCGCTGCCCGGGAGCCCGCGGCGCATGTGCCTGGCGCCCCCTCCCCCGCCCTGGATTCCGCTTCCTCTCCGCTCGCGCGGCAGCCGCAGCCGCCAGCAGGCCCGGCGCCGCCTCCGGAGTCCATGGCCGGCACGCGCTGGGTGCTCGGGGCGCTGCTCCGGGGTTGCGGCTGTAACTGCAGCAGCTGCCGGCGCACAGGTGCCGCCTGCCTGCCCTTCTACTCGGCCGCGGGCTCCTTTCCTTCGGGCG